AGAAGGCTGAATAGCTAGGCCAAGTTCAGCCAGTGGGATTCTAAGCCAGGATTCGAACTTGGGCTCTCCAGGTGTCATCTTGTCTCTGCTGAAGGCTAGGTTGGCCCCTCCTGCAAGTTAATTAGCATCACCACTATAACCCTAACCCCCACCCACCCCCGTCCCACAGCCTGTGGAGGAAGGAAGGGGGCGCAGAGAGCTCCAGCCGCTTGCTGGGCAGCAGAGGCAGCCAGAGGGCTTCCACTCGTGTTGCATCTCGTGTTCTCCGGAGTAAATCCTGATGTTTCTCCACGTGGAGGCATCCTTTGGAAAGGACAGCCTGGGCTGTCAGGTCCCCCCAGAAGGGGTCAGGGTGAGGAACAAGCTCCTTGGAAGGACTCAGTGGCCGCAGCCTCCCCTTCCAGAGCAGGTGGCAGGAATGGTGCTGCCCTGGCTGGGGAGGCTCATGGCTCCTGTCCAGAGGGGAGGCCAGGCCAGAGTCTGGCAGATGTTGGGGGGCTGGTTCAGGGATCTTCAGCCCCCATCCCCCCCCCAGAGATCCCCACCCCCAAGCTGTTTGTCCTTACACTCAGCCTGGCCCCGACAAGGCTACTTGACCTTGAAGCCAGGCCTACCACAAAAAGTCACTCTACGTGCCTCCCAAGAACCTCACCTAAGGAGCGAAGAAAGGAGGGGGAGAGGGCAGAGGGAGGAAGGAAAGAAAAGAGAAGGAAGGTTGTGGGTGCAGGACTGCACTGCAATTGCAGGAGAGCAAGGCAACGTCAAAACAGCCTGAACAGTGAGCGGGAGGGATGCCGAGCTGAGGATGCCGCCTGGGGGGTGGGCTTGCCTACCCCAGCCCTGAGCTCAACCCACCACCGCGTCATCTCCTGGATCCACGCAACCACCTGTGAGGTAGGTCGCCATGCCCATTTCACAGACGGAGAAACTGAGGCTCGCCAGTGGGAGAAAGAAGACGGAGAACCCAGGACATGGTCACCAATGCTGGGGACCCCCTCGGAAAACAGCCGCTGCCCATGTGTGCATCTTAGGACGGTGACAGCAGCCGATCGGGCAGCCACTTTGACCAGAACTGTTATTCATCCTGGTGCTTTGAGGCTCTGGTGGCGCCACAGGAAGGGAATATTTGCATATTCAAAGGCAGCTGAGCCTGGGGGGCGTTTTACAGCGCTCTCCTTTATAAAAATGCCCTTAAATTTGCTTTTAATATTTTTTAACAGAGAAAAAGAGAGACTTTGAGAGACTGAGTTAATTTGAAGGGAGAGGTGTTTAAACAGAAGGGAGAACTTTTCAGCTGGGAGGCGATAGGATTTCTAAAGGGACCTCAGACCTGAGCTGTGAACCTCTGCGCAGCCAGAGTTCTCACGTGTAAAATGAGAGGTTCAGCTGAACCCCCAATCCCACCCCCACAGGACCAAGTCACCCCAGGGCCACAATTCAAATGCCCCCTGGGTCAGGCAGGTGCAAAATGGGTGAATAGAGAAAGGCAGGAACCGCATTTTCACGTGAACATTCCTCTTGATTCTTACATATTAGGAGCTAATTTGCAATCGCATTGGCTGGAAAATGCCGTCTGCAGCTGGATTTGCCTGTGGGCCTGCATCTCCCGTCCCGGCTGCTCTTGGGTTCCCTCTTGGTTCTCCTCAGAGCAGTGTGTCCCCCCGAGGCTTTCCAGGACCCAGAATAGCTAGGACTGGGCTCTTTTACAGGACTCTGATAGCACAGGTCTGAGGAGCTCCAGGGCCAGGCCGGTGCTGGGCTTGGAATCCTTATCGGCCTTTATCATCCAGCTCTGAGCCGCTGGACTCGGGGTGCCTGGAAGCATTCGAGAAGCCCAGGAATGTCACCACTGGTGACATCTGCTGAGTCCAGGCAGCCCGTGGAAGGTAAAAACAGGACATCAGCCGGCAGGCTGCAGGGGAAGCAGGTTCCTCCATCTCTTCTGCCGGAGCCTCAGGGGCCCATTTCCCTAACATTTGCATGGCAGTTGTCTGGGTCCACAGTCAAAGTGCATATGCAAATCCAAGTTCTGTGCCCCAACTTAACTCTTGATGGACGCAGCTCCCAGGACAGCCCTGACCCGAGATGCCCGGGGAGAGAGGGAGCAGATGTTCTTTCATCCCCCAAATCCATACTAAGCACCTACTATGTGCAGCCAATGTGCTAGGGGCTGGGTACTAGAGTGAGAGGCCAGCCCAGCCCCCTTGGGGCTTCCAGCCAAAGGGGAGACAGCCAGACAGATCAACCACGTGCCTGATATGTTAACTGGGGATGGATGTGAAGTGCAAGGGTGACGCCTAAAGCAGGATTGTGCGAGAATGTTCTTAGCAGCTTTATTTATAAGAGCCCCAAACTAGAGATAATCCAAATGCCCATCAACAGGGAATGGGGAAACAAAGGGTCGCGTATCTGATGGTGGAATATTCCCAGTCGCTGAGGACAGATGAGGCACCAGCCACAGGGACGCATCTCCATGTGAGAAAGGAGGCCAGACCAGGAGAACACGCTGTGTGCTTCCATGCTTAGATCATTCGAAGACAGGAAGAGTCTGTGATGTGTGGAGCCGCAAATAAGGACAGTGGTAACCCCAGGGTGGGACAGTGGGACCAGAGGGGCACGAGGAAGCTTCTGAGGTCACGTCCTCTTTCCAGATGTGATTGCTGGTTACCCTCGTGTGTTCCCTTTGTGAAGATCCATGCATCGGGTCGGTTAAGATTTGTGCACTTTTCTGTTTGTATATTTTACACCTCAATAAAAAGTTTACATAAAATAATAGAGGAGGGAAGTGGAGAGAGGGGGGTGGTCCAGGAAGTAGGGGTGCAGATAAAACACAGGACGCCCAGTTAAATTTGAATTTCGGATAAACAAGGCATCATTTTTTAGCAGAAGTAGGTCCTGAATATTGCTGGACCCACCAGGCGTGTTACTGGGAACCAGAGCCCCAAGAAGTGGGATCCCTCCGTCACCTCTCATGGCCTCGGGTGGAGGTTTGTAAATAGCACATCTGCTCCCCAGATGGGCCGCATCGGGCTGCTGCCCAGCATGAACCCCAGGGCTCTGGGGACTCCCCAGGGCAGCTCAGCTCTGCACCAAGACCTGGAACTTGGGGTCAGGAAGTGGAAAACACAAGCAAGCCCCCCCACAAGGACCTCCCTGTGTCCAAATGAAAATACAAAACGGGAATAACGTCAGAGCTGGACTCTGTGGAGTCTAACGGGTAACGGCCGCGATGCAGTTCCTGCGTGTTCAGCAAATATTATGAGCCTCTGGTTTGATCAACGGCAGCACTAATCGAAGGCCGACTGTGATTCCAGCACTTAACCCAGAGGAGATGCTTTGTAAAGAGTCAGTTGCCTGAATGAGCTCTCCCGTTGCTACAGCAACCCTCCTGGGGGGCTGTCATGGCCCCCCACCTACCACTTGGGTGGTGGCTTTGAAACACTCCCCTTCTTAAGCCTTAGTTTCTTTCTCTGCAAAACAGAGATAACGATAGTCACTGGCTCACTAGGCAGAGTTTCTCAGCCTCGGCACCACGGCCGTTTGGGCTGGATCATTCTGTGCTGTGGGGCTGTCCTGTGCTGGGGGGGCTTTGCAGCATCCCTGGCCTCTACTCACAGGATGCCAGTAGCAGCCCCTCCCGGCGGTGACAAGCAAAATGTCTCCAGACATCACCAAGTGTCTTCTGGGGGACAAGATCACTGGCTGAAAAAGCCTCTGGGTTATTATGGAGGCTAATGAGCTGATGCCTGTGAAGGACTTAGCAGAACCCCCGGCACCTGACGCTCACTGTCAAATTGAAGAGCCGGAAAGTGCCAGGACGAGGATTTGAACTCTGGTGTGTCTGACCGCAAAGCCTGACTGTGCCCAGGGCTGCCCCAGGAGGCTTGCTGGGTGCGGATCTGATGCAGCACGTCTGGGGTGGGCCCGAGATGCGGCCCTTGTATGAAGTGCACGAACCCTTGCGCTCGACGGCCTCCGGGGCTGCCCGTGGCCTTGAGGTGCTTATGGTCCAGAGCAGAGATAAAAACGACACGCACCACAGGATCCGCTGTACTACGTTCTTTCACCTTCTCCGCATGCTGGAAAGTTTACATAATAAAAATTAGGTGGCTGTCAGAGGCAGCACATACATGAAGTCTTCAGTTTGAAAATTCAAATTGGTAAACTCCGGTCCCCAGTCCGCCATCTGTTTGTGTAAGTCATGTTTATTGGCGCCAGGGCCGGGTTTAAGGTGAGGCAAATAAGGCGGGATGGTGCCAGCGCAGGGCTGCAGCCTGGGTTAAACATTTTCGTATTTTGTACATCATGGATGGTTTTGGCATTGATACTTTTTACTTTGGTATCGTATTTATCTTGATGACAGCGTTTTCTGTGAGCAGGGCCATGCCTCACTCGCCTCACCCTAGCCCCAGCCCTGCTAGAAGGGTTCCAGAAGGGCTCTGTGCCCCCGGATGGAACCAACAGGGGCTCAGATGTGACATTGCCCTGTGTCTACACCCCACTTCTGCCCCCTGCTGGCTGTGTGGCTTTGGGCAGCAGCCTGAGCTCTGGGGCCTCAGTTTCCTCCCTGTGAAATGGGGCCAGTGAAGCTCACACCACCCAAACTGGCAGGGATAGTGCAGGAATTAAATGAGATAATATAGGCAGAAGCTTTTCAGAGAGCTAAAAAATACTCATTATTGTCAGCTAGAAAGCAAAGTCAAGTTCACATCCACGGCACGGAGGCCAAGAAAATCCAGGGAAACCTTCGTGGGGCTGAGCTGGGTCATCGCAGGTGACTCTCGAAACGGGTCTGAAGGAATAAAGAAGGGCTCAGACAATCCAGAAAGACATTCGGGTGAGGGAGCCCTCAGAGGGCAAGGCTTAGAGGAAGGAGTCCTCCCAGCAGGCGGGATGCAGACAGCCACGCGCAGGGGGGCAGCCCGAGCTCAGCGTGTCCACACATCGGCAACGGAGGTCCTTCTCTCTGTGACCAGGAGGGAGGGGAAGTCCCAGGCCGGCGTAGATCACAGTGGAGAGCAGTCACCACGCCGGCAGCAACCAGCCCACATGCCAGAGCCTCAGTGTTAGGGAAGGACTTCCCCAGCACAGTCTCCTTTGCCATGAACACCATGTGCCGTTTCAGAGGTGAGAACACGTGCTTCTGATGGTGCAGGCCTGGAGGGAGGGAGATACAGACCAGAGTGGCCAGGATGCAGGAAAACAAACTGAAAATACACAGCAGAGGATTTGGCAATGGGCACCAGGAGACAAGGAGCCAGTGGTGGCCAACCTCGGAAATTTCAGCTTCAGACAGGCTGAGTTTCAAGAACCGCAGGGACCCCATGTGGGGTGGAGACAGGCCTGACAAGTTGTTCTCTGGATTAGAAGCAGCAGGTTCCTGCTGGGGGCCTGGTCTGGGTGATTATCCCCCAAACTTCCCCAGAGGTGGCCCCAGGGGACATCTCCTTAAGTCACACGTCTGGGGCTGGGACGTCTTAAGATGCACCGTCTTGGGATGCCTTCCCACTGTGACCACAGAACTGGGTTGCACAACTCCGGGGGCACCGGCCCAGGGTGTTCTGTAGAACGTCAGCCTTATCTCCTTGATCTGTGCTGTCAGCACCGTTATTATCTCCTTTTGCAGCTGAACAGAGTAAGGCTAGGCTCCGAGAGGAGGTGTAACTTGCACTTTGGTCAACAGCTAATACAGGTGGAGAGGGATTCATGGCCAGCTCTGTCCTGCTCCAAAACAAATGCCTTCTACCCCACTGGCCTCTCCCCTGATGGTTCACTTTTATCCACATCCCCTCCAAAGGTGCTAAATATTCTCCTGCACCCTCCAGCTCCTCAGCCTGTGAGAGTTGGAGGCCCTCGTTAGGGAAGTCCCCGGGACTTAGGGTTTCTTGGAATTGGAAGGAATCGCTTCCCCAGGACAACACAACGGAGCCTTCTCCCCGTGCAGCCACCTGGGCCTGTTGGGGAGGCGCAGCCTCCAGGAAGTCAGCCTGCTGGGGGTTCAGTGTTGTGCTGAGGTCTGATTTCAGCAAGGAAATTGGCCAAGTCAGATGGCAGGATGTCAGAGAAGTTTCCTAAAAATCATGTAGCAAGAGAGGTAGAGAGGTGGGCGACACACCCTCCAGGGAGCAGCCCGGGAAGGCGGGGGGAAGGGGACACCCATAAACGCACGATGTTCCCCGCAGCGCAGGGAATCCGCACGCAACCTAAACTGAGACGGGGATGCGTGCTCTGGTCGGACGAGAAGGTGGAAGGTTAATTATCAGCACAGCCGTTTACGGCACCTGTATTCGTTTTCCTGTGTCTGATGCAACGATGCAGCACGGACCGGCTGGCTTAAAACAACAGAAATTTATTCTCTCGCAGTTCTGGAGGCGAGAGTCCAAAGTCACGCTGTCGGCAGAGCCTCTGTCCCTCCGCAGGCTCTGGGGGAGGGTCCTCTCCTGGCCTCTTCTGGTGGCCCCAGGGGTCCTGGGCTTGTGGCTGCCTCGCTACAGTCTCTGTCTCCGTCGTCACATGGCTTCTCCCTGAGTGTCCCCTCCTCTTCTCTTCTAAGGACACTCGTCATTGGACTTGGGGTCCACCCTGATCTAGGACGGCTTCATTTTGAGACCCTTAACTTAATTACATCTGCCAAGATCCTTTTCCCAGTAAGGTCACATTCACAGGCTCCAGGTGTACATAGCTTTTGGGGGCCGCCCTCAACCCGCTACTAAGCCCTTCCCGTGTGCCAGATGCTGAGCGCGTAAGGGAGGGCTTCCCGAGCACAGTCTCATTTGCAGGCACTGTTTTGTATATGAAAACATGAGCTCTGGAGAAAACAGTGAGTTGGCTGTGAAGCTGCAGCTGTGTTGGTTGAAGTCATTGCCTGGGGGTTCCTTCACCACCGAGTAAGGGGGGCGGGGAGGGAGGGAGCTTGCAATGGCACATTCACTACCCTTTTGAGACGTTTTAATATGGGAGGAAAATGTTGCACACCTACACGCCTACAAGTTTGAAAGCCGAGCATCTGGTCATTTTACAGATGGGGAAACTGAGGCTGGGATGGCTGGAGGGAGGATGACCGGAAGCCAGAGAATCAGAGTGACAGCCTCTGAGGCCAGGTGAGGTTGGCTGACCCCCGGGGGCATTTCATCCTGCCTGGAGCCTGGTCTTAAAAGGACATCCTCAAACACCTCCCAAAATTTTGGTTGAGAGGCTTCCAAGAGAAAATCCACGCCTGAAGCCTTTTTCCTCACACTCCTGGGCTGAACCTGTGTCCGAGCAGATCCAGGCCTGCTTCTCAGAGCAGAGTTGAGGCAGGCGCTCCACAGACAGCATCTGTTTGCACTCCTGGAATAAGCTTATCTTGCAGAGATTAAATCCGCTCTCAGGACTGAATTAAAGTTTGATGAAAGATATTTCTTAATGCCTTGCTGGCCTTCCAGAGCCCCGTGGGAGACAAAGTCCTTCAGAATTCCTTCCCATGAGCCCCTAACCTCCCCAAATCAAACAGGCACGTCATCCAAGGTAGGGCGCACCAGAAGCGGCCGGAAGAAAAACACAAGTTTTATTCCGGTGGAAAGTTTGGCATCTCCACTACCAGGATTAAAATTCTGGCCCTGTTTCAGACTAACTGAGGAGCAAAGATTATTTTCATTTGTTCATTCATCCACTCATTCATCCACAAGAATTTGCTGAGGGCCTACTTAGCCCTGGGGCCCGCATGACCTCACTGTCTAGAGGGAAGGTGGACAGTAAACCAATAATCACACATCCACACGATCACGCCATGGGAGCATTGAAGGAGAGGCGCGGGCTGCTGCAGGGTGGGACAGGCGGAGCTGACAGATGCCGTTGGGAGGGAGACCCTTCCCAGAGGAAGTGACACTTGAAATGAAACTTTAAGGACAACTAGGACGGACCCGGGGGAAGTGGACCTGCGGACAGGGGAGCCAGCCAGACGTAGGAACCGCACATGCAAAGGCCTTGAGGTGGGAGGACACCGAGGTAGGAGGGCCTGAAACAGCCCTGGGGAAAGGGGTGTGTGGACCACAGGTGGGAACTCAGGTGTGTGCTGGGGTGGGCGGGGCCAGAGCACGGAGGGGCTTGGATTTAATTCTGGAGACAACCAGAAGCATTTGGAGCATTTATTTTAAATTAAGCTTTTAATTTTTAGATAATTGATCCCCATGCAGGGGTAAGAAATAATTCAAAGAGATCCTGTGTACCTTTACTTAGTTTGCCCTGGTGGTAACACCTTGCAAAACTATAGTGTAACATCACAACCTGGATACTGACGTGGCTACAAGCCACCCATTTTATTCAGATTCCCCAGTGTGCCTGCACTTGTGTGTATGTGTGTGTGCATGTGTGCGTGTGTGTATTTGTGTAACTATGTGTGTGTACATGTGTATGTATGTGTATACATGCGTGTGTTTAGTTCTGTGCAGTGAGTAAGCTCCTGGGGCTACTCACACGTCAATTACCATTTCATAGAAAAAGCAAATAGCTTGTAAAAATGAAAATACGACAGATGGGGTTGAAGTCCCCAACGACCGCTCCCATTACTGGGTCCCTGTTGCCGTCCCTCAGAGTGACCCTTGGAGATGACTTTGCTGTGGAGACCTCCACAGCTCCGAGAGACAGGTGTACACACCTCCACACTTTGGGTGGAAAGATGTAGTATTATTAGTTTTCCAGGATGGCTAACAAGTAAAAGCAATGCCATGTGGATATCATGTAGCCCGTGGTAGGATGTGACAGGAAGGGTATTTCACCTCTGTGGTTTTCTTCCCAGAAACCCCAAACCCTGGTCTAACCACGAGGAAAACATCAGGCAGACCCAGGTCGCAGGACATCTCACAAAACACCTGAGCTCTACTCCCCAAAATGGCCAAGATCACCGAAAATGAGGAACGATGGAGAAACTGTCGCAGACCAGACGACTAGGGAAACATGAGCGCTAAATGCAAAGTACATCCTGGATGCGATCCTGACGCGGACACGCTGTGGACTCGAAATCAAGTCTAGCATTGGGTGAGCGATGATGAACGGGGGTTGATGCAGAGCCCCAGTCATGTAGAATGACAGCGTTACGGGAAATTCAAACTGAGTGAGGGACGTATGCAAACACTGTGCTATCTTTGCAACTTTTCTTCAGAGTTCAAGGGCACCCCTTGAAGTTCTCAAGGGGCCCCAGGGAGCTTATACATACAAAAGAAAACAAAGCCCAAAATTCAAATTTCCTTTCCAATCTTCTACCGCAAACCCACTCCCCAGTAGCTAAAACATGATATATGATTTTCCCCGCCTTCAGTTCTTTTAAAAGAATCTTCCAATGCCTGATGATAAACCCATCTTTGCAGAGAAGTCCTAAATCAGGGCGGGGTCTCTGGAAAGATCCGCACTTGGTCATACTTCAAATAAGACCGTAAAACCCACATAGTCGGAGCTTCTGCCGGGAACCAGGCCCTCTGCCTCCTAACCCCAGCCCACCAAGCAGGAACTGTCATTAGCCCATTCTCAAGAGGAGGAAACTGAGGCTCTGAGTCCCAGCCATCAGTGATGGGGCTGGGATTCGGTCCTAGGATTCCAGTGGCAAAACCTGTACCAGTCACCACCACACAGCATCACCCCCGCCCCCTGGGGCTTCTCTTCCACAGAGTACATGCCCCCTTCCTCCCCTCCTTCCTCCTTCCCTCCCTCCTTCTCTTCCTTCCTCTCTCTCTCCCTCCCTCTCCACCTCTCTTTTTTCCCTTTTCCACTTTCTTTCCTTCTCTCTCTCTCTCTCTCTCTCTCCCTAGACCAGCAGCATTAGCACCACCAGAACGTGGATTGTAAGGAACCCTTGGGACACTGGTGGGCACATACAGTCCAGAAAGGTCTGCTCAGAGCTTCTCCCCTCATAAGGGACACTAAGGAGAGGTTCCTGGGCCCGTTTCACTCCAGATGCCGTGTCGGGCCGGGGCAGAAACTCAAGGAGGCTCCACGACTGGGCTCCAGGACGTTTGGGTCTCACACTTCAGCCAGGCACTTAATTGGCACCCTCCTCTTTCTAGCCCAGGAAATGGCTTTAAAAAGCTCCGTAGAACCCAGCCCTGGGAACCCTGGCTCGGCCGGGGCCTCGTGTCCCCAGGGAGGCCACTCTGCCAGCCCAGGCGAGGTCCAGGCTGGCTCCTGGTACTAACAACACGTGGCCCCCAGACGGGTCCCACGGGTGGCCAACCCCACCCCAATGATGCAGCCATGGATCCCGAGCACCTCAAAGTCTTGCACTGTCCCCAGCACAGAGCAAGCCCTGGGGAAGGGAGATTGCAAAGGGGCGGAGGATGTGGACCCAGGACACGCTCCTCTCTCCTCCGACCTCTGTGGCGGAGACATCTGCCCTTTGTGGGCAGGAAACGTCTGCTAAGGGTCTGGGCTCTGCAGCCTGGATTCAGGGCTGTCTCAGCCTGTTGCATGTCTCCCGGCCTCGACTTCCCCATCTGTAAACTAGATTGACGATTGTTTCCATCCCCTGGGGGTGTTGTGAGGACTAAGTGAGATGCTGCAGCAAGAGAGGTCAGCCTGGCACCAGCTCAGACTCGATGAATCTATGGCCAGAAAAAGGTCGAAAATTAAAGAAAAAGCTGGAGGATCAAAAATGGGGTGCAGCGGAGCAGCTCTGAGGGGGCCCCTGAACCAGAATGAATGAACTGCCCCCAGCGGGGCCACATCAATGAGATAGCTCTCAGGAGGAAGCAGACATTCGAGAATGTTTGGGAGAAACAGGGGCTCTTCCCACGGTGGCGGGGGGGCAACCTCAGGGCCCCGACCAGCCCCATAATCCAAGGGCAGGGCCCAGCGAGAAAAGGAAATTCGGGGCCCTTGTTCAAAAAGTATTGAGAATTTCCCAACAGTGAGAGCAGAGCACTAAACCAAGCATGGGGTCCTTCAGGGCTCGAGCGCCTGTGTGACTACCCAGGTCACACGCTCCTAAAGCCAGACTTTGCTCAGGGGTCTCTCAGCATTCAGAGAGTGAAATGTGGAGACCGCTGTTAACAGATGCCTTTACCCAAGCAGCCTGGCCACCCCTGCTCCCACCTCCCCCAAGAGCTCCCCAGTGGTCGAAGTGCAAATCGATCTAGAGGTCAGAGTGGCCCACGCCATTATCAAGAGGGGCAATGGGAGGAGGGGAGGGGACTCTGGGAAAAGTCAAAGTGTCACCACGCAGCTCCAGGAGATAAGCCAATCAGAGGCCGCCAGCCAGCAGCTGCCAGACATTTGCCGTGATGCCAGGAATGGCATTGCTGTGGTTCCCGGGGTCTTGGAAGAAAATCACCTCACACACAGGGACGCCTGCTCCATTGCCGGCAGTGGGTGGGCACTTTGAGTTCATCCTCCCCCAGGCACACTGCAGGATGGAGCCAGCATCTGATGGGACTACGGAGCACAGGGACGACCTTCTCAGAACATCCCTGGGATGCCTCTGGCCACTGGCAGCGAGAACAGACTTTGAGCCTGCAGACTCGTGGAGATGCTCCTGCCTGAGGACCCGGGACCCGCTGGAGGCCTTCAGATGGGGACGCACAGAGGGAGGGAAGGAGGTGGGCCCCTCAGAACAAAACAAAGGACTCTGGCATCAGTGACCCTGCAGAACAGCCAGGGCCCTGCGGCGGGGCGGGGCGGGCCGGGGCGTGGGCGCGCGGGGAGGCCGAGCCGCAGGAGGAACTTGGGAGTGCACGATGGGGGATTAAGTCCTCACCTCACCCCACCGCGAGGCAGTGCCAGCAGAGGTGGCCGCAGACAGAGGCCAGGCCCCGTTCTCAGGGTGTCCCGACTCCAGGGTGATTGCAGACGGGCAGCGCCCCCCAGCAAGCATGCCCCACGCCCTGCACAAGTTCTCCCAATAGACACGGAGAAACCTCAGAGCCCAGCGACGTGGCCACCCGCAATGCTGCTCCGTGCGGGCTCAACCAACCTGTCGCTATCAGAACCTACATCCTGCAGAGAAGGAGCCTAAGGGTCAGAGAGGAACTGTCTCTCCGGGGTCACACAGCTGATCAATGGCAAAAGCAGTATTTAACCCAGATTTGAATCACATTCAGGTTCTTCTACCTTTGAAATGAGGCTTTGAGCCCAGCAAGTGCATCTCTCCCCTCTGGCACAGGTGAGCAGAGTCCGTCTTTCTTCCTACCGCAGCCCAGAGAGGACGCGACTCCGGGCGGAGTGCCTGGGGGAGAGAAGGATGCCGCAGTGGAGGCAGGAGGCATCACTTGACTCAATTCTTCTGAGTCAAATAAAACTTGATTTTTGGAGGGAAGTGCTGGGCTCCTCCCACACTGCAGGGCAGCTTCACACGTGGGTGCGGCCAGGGAGGCACACAGCCCCGAGCTCAGAAGGGCCTGTGCTTGGTTTGATACTCTGCTGTCTTGAAACTCTTAACAGTTTTTAAACAAAGGTCTTCATTTTCACTTTGCACTGGGCCTCACAAATTCGATTGCCCATACTGCCCCAGTGTCCCAGGTATCATGAAAAGCCAGGGTCCCTCCCCAGGTGGAACATTCCAGGTGCCGGCTGCACACTCCCCACACGTTGCCCTGATGACCCATCGTCGAAGCCCACATGGCCACCTGAAGGAGGCAGATCTGCAGCCTCTGCTGGGCCGGAGCTGGAGCCCCCGAGATGGGTCAGGCCTCACCAGGTGCCCCAAGGAGACAGTGCCCCCGGGGGTTCCTGCTATCTACCCCCCACCATCACTGCAGGGAATTGGCCACGCCCCCTCCCCTTCCCAGAAGTCCCCCTCTCCCCCGGGGATGGCTGTATCCCCTTTGCCCCCTGAGTTCTTCCCTCCATCCACCCACCTCAGGGAGTGCCCACTGACTCACACAGACGCATGCAGTGGCTTTAGAATTTCCCCTCAGTTGGCTTCTTGCCCCTGGCTGGTGTGGGACGTGGGTGTTCTCACCTCTCCCCCCTGGTTTTGTCTCAGCAAACGCAGAGACAGCTATGGTCTCTGACGTCACTCTCTGTCCCCCCTCCCATGCCCCGGTATGCATTCCCACATCTTCTGGAAACAGCACTTAGAATTTTCTTACAGGACCCTCTGCCCCACTGGATTCCCTATTGTTTGGGCAGGGGAACCCCATTCCCAGGGTCCAAGGGTGGACATGTGACTCAGGCCTGGCTCATCAGCTTACTCCATCCTCTAGGCCTGAGCGACTGATTCACAGATAGGAACATGCCCCAGAACAACCCAGTCTGAGTTAATTCTGTGAAACCGTTGGAAAGAAATAATCTGTGTTTCTATTGGAAGGGGAGGTGGGCGGCTGTAAATCTTGAGCTGCCAGGAGCTGACTGGAAAGGAAGACAGAGCCAGAGATGGAGAGAAATCAAGTCCCGAGGACAGCATTTGATCTCCTGGATCCAGCTGTGCCTGAAGCCAGACCCAGACCATTTCAGTTACATAACAATTATTTTTCTTAAGTCAGTTGAGGCAGGTTTTGTGTCACTCGTGACAGAGAGAGCCCTGAGCAGTATCCCGTCTCTCTCTGTTGTGAAGGATACAGCCACACAGGAGCAGACTCCACACTTGGCTCTCAAACACAGTGCCCAACACTTGGAGAAACTCCCAAAGCTGTCCAAAGGAACGCTTTGGAATGGAGCCTGTGCCTCTCACTGACATTTCTTTCTAAGGCAGTTTGGCCAGGAGTCCTTCCAGACAGTGCTCTTGTCTCCCCGGGCAACACAGCAGAGCCCGCATCCCTTGCGGGTGTGCAGGCACCCAGCCTAATTCCCTGCCCTTGAACGTGGGCAGCACTGTGAATGTGACGGAATATCCGTCCCAGGAGGAAGTTACTAACTAGATGACTTGGAGTTTCTCGAAAGGGAGATTACCTAGGGTGGGCCTGATCTAATCAGGTGAGCTCTTAAAAGGGACCCGGGCCGTCTGCAATCAGAGCTTGGAAGTGTGAGAGGGCCGAAGGAGGAGGTCACGTGGTAAGGACCTGGGAGCTCCCAGGTCCCTCAGAAACTGAGAGCAGTTCCCAGCCAACAGCTAGTGGGACAAAGGCATCTCAGTTCTGAGTTAGCCAACAACTTGAGGGAGCTTGGAGATGAGCCTCCAGATGAGAAC